ATTTGATAGCGTGCCGTAGTTAATGAAGTATATTATATCACTAAGAGAATGAATATCTGGTAAAAGTGTTTTCGCTTGTCATGCTGATTTGAATTCAGATTCCGAGCCAACAGTCCATTTACATCGATGATAAAATAGGAACGTTTTCTGTCTATATTTCAAAGATGAAATATTGTAACTATTTACATTATTTACATTGTTCGGACTGCTGTCCTCATCTTTATTGCCATATTCACCTTCAACATCTGTCTCTATTTCTCATTTGTAATTATTTATTTTACATTGATCGGACTGTTGTCTCATCTTTATTGCCATATTCTGTCAACATCTATTTTCTGAGATGAGCTATTGTAACTATTTACACTATTTATATTGTTTGGACTGTTGCCCTCATCTTTATTGCCATATACACCAGGCATGTCAAATTCAGGGCATATGTAGGGCCTCATCGGCCATATCTGCAGTCTTGAGGCCCGCATCTGCTTACAGTCTTACATTAATCACAACTAGTGGTAACTAAACTTCAAATACAAAATATTTACAATACAAGGTAGTACAATTTAATCATTTTGATGTTGTTCTGATGATTGTCATCGTTTTAGACAAACTATTCTCAATATATCAGGTTGGAATGTCTGTGTAGATCCCACTTTGATCAAAGATGACAAATGTTCATTAGTTAATCTGGTTCTGTGAGACATTTTTGTGGCCTTCATAAATGAAAATAACTGCTCATAGACATATGTGGAACCAAACATCGCCACAATCTTTGTGGTAAACTTTCTGAAGTTCTGAAATGTCTGAGGAAGGTATGAAAAAATTCAGGTATCCCTACTTCGGCTACTTTCCCTTGAGTGTTGAGTCAGTCTGCATTTCCAGTCATTTCATCTGTAGACTTTCCTCTGCCTGAGCAACATCAAAAGTGAATGGTGCTGAGAGTAATGCAAGCTGATCTTCACAAGATGAAAAATCACAAAATCTTCGCTGAAATTCCTTTGACAGCATTTCCAGGTAATTGTACTTAGCAAAGATAAATACAGACTCAGTATTGGCAGTTTTTTTCAACTTCTTGCACATAGGAAAATGAATCAAGTTTTCATGTGACAACTGGGACTTCAATAAAGCTATTTTTGCAATGAAACACTTGATATCATCATATAACTTTGTGATGAGGTTATTTTTACCGTGTAATTTCAAATTAAGGTCACTTAATTGGGTAGTAATATCCACTGAAAAATCTAGATCTTGGAGCCAGCTTTCATCCTTCAATTTATCTGTGCTTTGACCCTTCATCTCCAAAAATATAGCAATTTCGTGTCGCAATAAAAATATTTTCAGCTTCTGAGAACTGATTATTCATGTCTTCCAATAACTGGCTAAACTGATGGTGATGCAGAGCAAGACCTCTGATATAGTTCACTGTTTTTATGACAAAACTCAATAAATGATCTAATTTTAAAATCTTACAACATAAGCTCTTTATTTACATTATTAGAACTATTGTCCTCATATTTGCCGCTATATTTATTACGTTTTCGAACTGAACCCTTTAATTCGCTCACTGGCGTAGACTGTTCTAGTTCCACGTGCCATGTCAATTGTCAGTTCTCTCCTGTTAATTCCCCTCTCTAAGTTTTCCACTGCCTTAAGCGGGTATTGAACTCATACTCTTGGGGTCCTGTCACTGGATCTAACTAACGCCTTTATCCACTGTGCCATTTGTCCTCGAAGACATCTGTGTATGTGTATGATCTGGGTATTATAAACCTAATGTCTCCAGCAATCATTTTTTACTCATATTGCAGTTTTTGCTGTTACCATACATATTTTTACCAGAGCTCATATTGCAATGCCGGAGCGTACAACAGCCGAAACGTTGTAATAAATATGGCGACAAAGATGAGGACAATAGTCCGAATAATGTAAATAATCTACATAATACCTCATCTCAGAAATATAGACGAACATAAGTTCTGTTGATGAATTATACAGTAAAAATGCTTGAATGTTGAATCTGGATATATGTTTTCTATTTTTGTACATAACTTGGCAACAACACCATTATGTCTCCCATCAGTAGATAACGACACAAGTTTACTCAAATGAAGGCCATACTCATGGCGAAGCTGTTTAATTTTCTCAAAAATGTTCTGGCTTGTTGTAGTATCATGCATTGGGAGCAGTTCAATTAGTTTTTCATAAATTTGGAATTCATTGTCACAAGCCCTGATGAAAACAGCGAGCTGTGCTATTCTAGTTTCAGTTGTCACTGGATTACTTCAATCAACGCTTTTAACCACTGGGCCGTGTGTCCCCGAGGACACATGACCCAGAAGATAAAAACGTTGGTTGAAGTAATCCACTGACTTGACCCAAAGATTTGTGAGTTCAATACATGGCCACAGGTATTGAATTCACCACAGCAGAGGTGAACAAAAACTTAGAAAACTGAGTTACTAAAGGGCGACAACTAAAACTGAGATATCCAGAAAAGGCATGGCATGTGGAACTAGAACTATCTACCCCGACGGGCGAATTAAAGTGTTCGGGTCGAAATTTCAACGTATATCACCTGAAGAAAACTGGAGCGTACAACGGCCGAAACGTCGTGAATATGATAATAAAGATGTGGACAACAGTCCAAACAATGTAAACAGTGTAAATAAGAATGTTTTCGTAACATCGCTTCAATTTGGGCGGGAGGAGGAGGAAGGACAATAGGAGAGCGGGAGGAGTTGGCAGTTTAGAAGAGAAGAAAAGAAAGCAAATAAAGAGGAAGCGGAAGACATTTGCCAGATTTTGATTTTCAAATGTCTTCTGAAACACCTGGGCAAGACTCTGTCAGACGGACACCCACACAAACAAAAAATAAAGAACTACAGTTCAACGTCGGATGTTCTCTCACACATTACCGCATAAAGTTAATACCTGTGTATGTGAAAAGCGGGGAGGCGACGTCATGCACGTACGTAAGTGAAACTATAATGAGTCACAGAGCGTTCTCTCACCACATTCCGTCGACTTGGCTCATTCAACACCCCCACCCGCACCCTAGTCGGACGCCTTTGCTTCACACACACTCATACACACACACACACCAAATACAGAAAGCGTTCTTTCTTTGTCATGGGAAAAAAATTGGATCCATTTCAGTCGAACGAAAGCAAGACGTGTTAAAAACAACTTTTCATAGTTGCAAAAAATACATGCTCTATTCGAAAAATGTCAATTATATTCTCTCGACTAATAATTAGACTATTTCCGTTGTGTCTTTCCTGAATGAATAAAAAACGACAAGAAAAAAGCTTACTTCTAAAACTGCAATTTCTTTTTATTTGTCGACGACGCTGTGAAAGTTTAAATTTAATGTCATGGTTGGAAAAAGAAACGTGTTGCTTAGAAGATGCACAAACGTGTTGTCTAGAAGATGCACGAATAAACATGCTTTCTTCAACAAAGGAATTCCAACGCTACAAGCTTTTATATACTTAGTTTGGCATAAGGCCACATATATGGAGCACTGAATTCATTACTGATAATCAACCACCGCAATGCATGTTGAATATTTTAATGTCTATAATTACCCCTCACCCATCGTGGGTTCGTTTGTTAATTGAGATATTTGCTCATTTCTAAGTAGTCGGTGTTCGATCCCAGATTAAAAGCTAGGATATGCAATGCCGATTTTCAAGATGGGCAAAGCTGAGAGAAATACACAACTTCTTTGACCAGCGAGCAAAGACAGGATGAATAACTATAGACTTAAATGACTTGAAAAAAAAAACTTATTTAATAGGGATTGAAAGAGTTTAATGAATCTTCAGAAAAAAACACGTTATTCGGTTTTGCTGGACATTATCTGGATTTAGGTCCGCCACAAACAAAAAATAGAAACATTTAAGTCCTCCAGAAACAAAAAATAAAAACATTGAAGTCCTCCAGAAACAAAAAATAGAAACCTTTAAGTCCTCCAGAAACAAAAATAGAAACATTGAAGTCCTCCAGAAACAAAAAATAGAAACATTGAAGTTATCCAGAAACAAAAAATAGAAACATTGAAGTCCTCCAGAAACAAATATAGAAACATTTAAGACCTCCAGAAACATAAAATAAAAACATTTCAGTCCTCCAGAAACAAAAAATAAAAACATTTCAGTCCTCCAGAAACAAAAAATAAAAACATTTAAGTCCTCCAGAAACATATTATTGGATAGTGTAATGATTTCCACCTTGAAAAAATCGTCGTAAATTCTATTTGGCATTACCTGTAAGTTCATCTATGTCATCATGAAGCCGGTTTGTATAAAATAATTTCTCAACTATTCTGCAATCATTGGTCTGTCAATAAAGATTAACTATGTCAAGGCGAGACAACAAGCAAAAATTGACTAAGTAGATTAATTTGGAAATGTAAGAAAGTATTATTTTGACTGAAAGTAATTCTTTTTCTGGGAGATTTTATAATTCGAATTGATTCTTTCCAAATGAAGAAACATTCATATCGTGAAAATACGTGCTGGAAATCTTGACTTCCATCTGAGATCGAACACCAATCATTGGCTTCAATGGGAAATCTACAACTACCTAAGCTATTAAATTCTTACGAAAACGGGAAAGATTCCAAGAAAGACAAACCGTTGAATTAATTTTGATGGCAACATGACAACTTTTGTCAGTTTTCTGTTTCTTTCCGTCCCAGTAACCCCCTTGCATCTTAGTGGCTATTAAGCCTTCCCTGGGGTGAAATGATTAAAAAAAAAAAAATGAAGTTTTTAAAATCTTTTAAAAAATTTAGTTTTTAGCCAACCAAATCCAATTTGTTGACCCACTATATAAAAATACTATTTCAGGGTTCACTGATTCCTTGATGGTATATTGCTTGCCACTAAACTCCATAGCTCATTAAGATTTATTATTGCTCTTATTCAATACGTCTATAATGATAAAACTCATTTCGAGTGGTCTATATTTCGCTTGACTTCAGGTCTTGCTTTCGCCGAATGGGTCCTTCTGGGATCAACCGAGATTTAAGCGTTCTTGTTAAGAGAAAAAAATGCGGCAAAGAGAGACACGGGACAACAAGTAAAAATTTAGCACATCACAGAAAAATAGATCTTCGTTAATCGAGACAAATTAATAACGCGCTGAATTTGGTGAAGTCAAACGTTGAAGAGGGACACATAATTGATTTTAATTGGTGACAAAGGAAATCGCTAAGAAAAACTAAATGAACAATCAGGCTTTATAGTCAGAAATTTCCAAATGAGTAAATTCAGATGTGATGGATATTTTGGATCAAGCACTGACTTTTTCTATAAAAAAAACAAAAAACAAAAAAAAAAACAAAAAAAACAAAACACATTTGACAGAAGAATAGAGGCAGCCAAATCTCTGGTATTGAGGGTTCCGATTTCTGGTTTTAAAAGAAAATATTAGTAATTCTTTCATTATTTCTTTCATATTTTCGTTCCTGTCTCTTTTCTCCAGTCTATTCATATCTATCTATCTATCTATCTATCTATCTATCTATCTATCTATCTATCTATCTATCTATCCCAGTTTATTCTTATCTATCTCTCTATCTATTTATCTATCTGAGTTTGTTCTTATCTATCTATCTATCTATCTATCTATCTATCTATCTATCTCAGTTTGTTCTTATCTATCTATCTATCTATCTATCTATCTATCTCTGTTTGTTCTTATATAGCTCTCTATCTATTTATCTATCTCAGTTTGTTCTTATCTATCTATCTATCTATCTATCTATCTATCTATCTATCTATCTATCTATCTATCTATCTCAGTTTGTTCTTATCTATCTATCTATCTATCTATCTATCTATCTATCTATCTATCTATCTATCAGTTTCAATCTCCCTGTTTTCTTTCTTATTCCATCCGACCATTTTTGTACTTTGACTTTTCCATATTTCTTTCAACCAACCCATAACGGTTAAAAAAGATTATTTCGGGTATTTGCTCGGTCCACTAGGATTAAGATTTCCACTTCAGAAAACCCGACACCCGGCGCAGCATTTGATACGCTGTTCAGTAATTTTCCGTCCAACACCCACTTCCGGAAATTGAAGGTTTCATTTTCCAGTTTTAAGACACACCTAGAAAAAGATTTCTCGAGGTTTTGAGATTTAATAGAAAACTTCTACTGAGCACAAATTCTTTTTCTCTGCTTTTATTCGCATATCTATAGGTAGATAATCTATCTATCTATCTATCTATCTATCTATCTATCTATTTATCTATCTATCTATCTATCTCAGTCTATTCATATCTATCTATTTATCTATATATATATATATATATATATATATATATATATATATATATATATATATATATATATATATTCATCTCTCTATCTATCTCTGTCTTTATCTATCTATCTATCTATCTATCTATCTATCTATCTATCTATCTCAGTCTGTTCATATCTATCTATCTATCTATCTATCTATATCTTTCTGTCTCTCTCTGTCTTTCTCTCTCTCTATCTCTTCCTCTCTCTCTCTTTATCTATCTATCTATCTATCTATCTATCTATCTATCTATCTATCTAAATAGGTCTGCATGTGTATAAAAATGCTCGATACATCTATATTTAAAAGGAAGGATGATAAAGGAATTGATGGCACCTATCATAAAAATTCAGGAAGCAGTATTAATAAATACTGAACACTTCAGATACCGTGGCGTATGAATCAAATTTATGTTATAATATTCGAATAAATAATTATATTTGCTCTAATTTGTATTGAGCACTTTTTTAAGAATAGTATTTGTTGGTTATTGGAATTTATTTCGTATACACCAATCGTATACTTGTATATATATATATATATATATATATATATATATATATATATATATATATATATATATATAGCCTCGTCAGATGTGGCGCTATAGAATCTCAAAGAACCGTATCCAGTAACAGAAAAAACCTCACTTGAGGACTTTCAGCAGTATCAACAACTAAAATGGATAGTACATGTAACTCGAAGAGAAAATAATGACATGATGTTGACATTCCATACTACTTTAAATAAAAGTTTAGGAAGGAAACTCCCATCGTCACTGGAAAGAACTATGGCAGCTACTGAAGTTGAAAAATCTATTTTTTTGAAAAATTGTTTTAAAAGAAAGATTTCATAAATTTCAACCGAAAGTAGTAGTAGTTGCTTGTTCAATGAATGCCAAATGTTTCCTTATAGGGAACTGGCTATTATTACAGTTATCATAACCCTTCTGCCGAAGAGAGATCTACACTGTCACATTTTATTCTTCACGCAATTTTTCTTATAATAAAATGAATATTTACCAATTATTTCCAAGTTCATTTAACCGCGAATAACAGCCACATGACGTTTTTCTCTTTCTTTTCTTCATTTTCTCTCTCTCTCTCTCTCATATATATATATATATATATATATATATATATATATATATATATATATATATATATATATATATATACATTAATTCATCGAGTCTAGAAGAAACCTCAACAGAATGCAGAAAGCACTGGACAGCCGTTTCGTCCTATATTTGGGACTCATCAGCGGTGCGCATCCACTACCGAGAATTGAAACCCGAACAGTTACGATAGGAGGCAAACGTCATACCAACGGGCCTCGCTGACGAAGTAGTAACGAATTAGACTCGATATAGCGCCGCTCGATCACATATTCTGTGGTGGAACTCATCCGAATTTCTCTTTTACCCATAGGACTGTGCCTCCACGAGCTACGACTACTCTCCCCAAGCCGCTTACTCCAGAGCATTAGAAGCCGGTTCAAGCAAGGATATACAGATAGAAATAATTAGGAGGATTTGAAATAATCATAATTAATTCATCGAGTCTACACCGAATCTAATTCGTTACCCCTTCGTCACCGAGGCCCGTTGGTACAGTTGGTATGGCGTTCGGGTTTCAATTCTCGGTAGTGGATGCGCACTGCTGATATATACAATCCAGTGCTTTCTGCATTCTGTTGGAGTTTCTTCTAGACTCGATGAATTAATTATGATTATTTCAAATCCTCCTAATTATTTTCTATCTATCTATCTATCTATCTATCTATCTATCTATCTATCTATCTCAGTCTTCTCATATCTATCTATCTATCTATCTATCTATCTATCTATCTATCTATCTATCTATCTATCTATCTATCTATCTATTCTGTCGTTTCTCGGTATCCGTGGAAGATTTGTTCCAAGAAACCCCGCAGATATCAAAATGCATGCACATACAATAAAAATATATAAAGTAGCAGACTATTTGTACATAATCTACCCACGCCGTATCGTATATCTTAAATTATTTGTAGATTAATTATCACATACTTACATTGTAACTGGAAATAGCTATCATGTGTAAATCTAAGCAAAATATTTCGGCGGAAAATCAACACATGAGAAAAAGAAAAACTTGTATAAAAGTAAATTTTTACCGTCCAAATTTTTGTACCATTAATAAGACAGATTGGAGAAAATTATGGCAAGGACATATTTGCGTCCACATTATAGAATCGGAAATATTTGTCAAAACCCGTTTACCTGAAAAAAAAAAATTGTATAAGACGATATTTCAGGTGAAAATCATGTCGATTTTTAAAACTTACCAAAAATCAAATAATTATTGAATATAGGTAAAATTTTCAATGACAATGGACTAAGATTATTTTCATTTCAAAGGAAGAAACAAAAAATGAACTCAGTTGATGTAGGGATTGCAGGAGACGCAAAGCGATCAATTCTCCAAAAACATGTGGTAGGGACAATATGTGAATTGGCGGGAGATTACAGCTGTTGTCTGCCTACTGCATGGATTCACAATAATGTTCGAAACGTAGTAAATTCAAGTTTTGCTTTTGGAAATTTGGATGGAATATTTTCAATCTGACTGTATATATATTCCTATACCTATATATATATATATATATATATATATATATAATTATTTATTTAAAAATTATAACATAAATATGTTATAAAAATCACTACAAAAATAGCCATATGGCTATTTTTTGTAGTGATTTTATAAAAATATTTATGTTATAATTTTTAAATAAATAATTATATTCGCTCTACACTGTATTGAGCACTCTCTTAAGAATGGTAATTGTTGGTTATTGGAATTTATTCCGTATACACCAATCATATACTTCGATATATATATATATATATATATATATATATATATATATATATATATATATATATATAAATAAAATTCAGAGCAGCATGAATCCATCCAGCCTTTATCTTAAATAACAAATTAAAAAGAGACTGTTTGACGAACATAAGGTCTGACCAAAATTTATGATAAAAAATAAAAAAAACTAATAAAACCAAAAAAACAAATGAAAACTACAGATAAAGTTCATTGTCTCCATCAAGTCATTCATTCCTGTAGTACACTGCTACTAATAAGCAGAATTTTTTTCTCCAGATGGTGGCCATGTTGGCTGAAACTAACAAGGAACTTAATTTAATTCAGTGCGACTGAAAATTTTATTTTTTTAATATTTTTTATTGTTTAAAACACAACCACACACACACACACACACACACACACACACACACACACACACACACACACACATATATATATATATATATTTATTTAAAAATATATATCCATCGTGACACAGAAATTAACATGTTTCTAAACCAAAATATATATTATTATATAGTTTGTTATATAGTTTAAATTGGTGAGCGAATGAGATTACAAAATTTTTAAGTTGGTGTTAATGTATTTTATAAAATAAAATAAAAATAACTAAAAATGCCAGTTGTAGTGTATCATAAAAAATACAGACAGTAATAATACGTTCTCATATAAGGAGGCCAGTATCAACAGACAGAAATTACAAACCTACATCTAACTCTTAACCGATATTGACTTTACCACCTTAAATTGTACTTGTAACCTGATTCGTCAATAAAACCAACACCCATTTAAAAAGTTTTTAATCTCATTCCCCCACGAACTTAAACTATATAACAAAATATTTAGCTTATAAAAAGAGTAAATCATTTTTTGAGAATTATCCAGCATCGCTTGAAAATGAAGCAAAAACTTTAAATTTTAAGTTAAATTTAAGATTTAGGATTCGGTTTCGAAACATGGTAATTTCTGTGTCGCGATGAATACATATTTTTCAAAGGGAACAAATTGGAAATAGCGTTCAAAACCACTAGATCTGATGACTAAAAATTTTACTAAGAAGCATCGATGATGGGATAAAAATTGATATTTAAAAAGTAGTTAAGTATCTCATATATATATATATATATATATATATATATATATATATATATATATAAATTAATTGATTAAAATATGTTTTTTTCTGCTACACAGTTCTAACCATGTTTCAAAAATAGAAATAAAAACCCCGCATTTAATTTTGCAATTAAATTAAAAGCATTAGTTCCATTTCATCCTCAAGCGAATTTTGGAGTAACTTTTAAAAATTACTGGGTTTTAAAGACACAGCTAAAATCACGTTTCCATGGTTACAGAATATTCTACTTCAATTGGACAAGAGATGTCTAGGTTTTCCTTATGACAGTATCATTGTATCAGTTATTAGCTACAATTTGGTAAGGGGTAGGGATGTATTTTTCAATGAAAATTGACATAATATTTTAAAAAAATCCAGACGACATGCATTCAATTATTATTATTATTATTATTATTATTGAGGCATTTTGGCTCATGCCTAAATATACAAATATATCGTTATGGATTTGTTTCGTGGACGAGGATTCAAGAGTGGGGCGTTCGACGTCTGTTGTGGGCGCCCTGGTGATTGGCAAGACTTGCGCGAGACAAAATGCTTTTTTTTTCCGCAGCGGATGCAGGGTAGGTATTGATGACATGCAAATACTCACACACCAATTCTTAATAATGACAACCAGTTCTACCTAAAACGGATTCAATGCTAAGGCTGTATTGCACCTGGCGAGGGAACTTCAGTTCGCAGTCGATACAATTCTAGTCGCCAACTCAAAGCCCTGAAAGTACTGAACGTTATCGCACTAATCACAGCTTAGCCTAAAGAAAATCCTAATCCTCCATCAACTTGTGCGTCTTATCAAGTGCGCCATTCATCCGCTATATTCATTAATCCGACCAAGCTGAACGCGCTTCAGAATTTTAATAAACTGGGATTATATCTAGACGATTTTTGAGGATTTTACAAGTATGTATGGATCAACGAAAACCTAAGGAAAGACACGTGACTAAAGATCTTTAAAACTGTCATGCTCTTCATTGTCACTGGACAGCATGATTTTTGGTGCCAAGAATCGAGACACGTTTTTTAGCTAATTTGATGATGCTGATTGCGAAAATGGTCTTAGTTTTTCGTAGTTAGCTACCGTTTTTGCTGTACTGAAATTGCTCATTGTTGGAGAAAAGATCGATTTATGATCATCGCTGATCGCAAAATTTAGTTAATAAAGGTCGTAGAAGCCCATCACTTTTCAGGTAGGCCGAGCAATTTATGTCAGCCACCTGAAATGAACTGCTTTTATAAGGAAAAATTTTAAAATAGATGTACCGAATTTTTCCAATTTATTTCCAAAATCCAAATTAACTGATAAACTTTATCACTAATAGACTTTAGTAAATCTGATAATTAAGGTGGCATCAAAAAAATAAAACCCTAAAATCTTCTGTCTGATATTCATAAATTTATTCCATCTATTTTATCCCTTCACTACGGAAGGAAACCATGCACATTGAGAGCATTTTCTTTCCCCACTTGGAAAGAAACTCCAACTAAAGACATCTTAATTGAATGCATCTATTCCATTGTACATGATACTGCTGGAGTATCAAAAGGGACTTAAATAACATTGAACATGACAGACGATCAAGAAATTTTTTTTACCATAGTTCTTATGTTCACGAAGGTTTTTATTTCCGCTGTTAGTTTATTGATTTGATGAAAATACTTGTTGGTCTTGGTATATTCAATCGTGTCATTTTTAAAGATGTAGAGTCTGATAGTTATTGAAAAAATAGTATTTCTCAATAAGCAGACCAATATTTGCTGGTTTAAATACGAATTGAGAGGTTTCTACGATTTTATTTTGAGAAATATTGCCACCAGTCAATATCATATATACAGAAAACAAATGAAAATGTTTTTTCGAAAAATGAGGCATTTCTGTACAGCAAAAACGGTAGCTAACCAAGAAAAAGTAAGGTCATTTTCAGATTCAGTGCCCTCAAGTTAGCTAAAAAAAGATGTTTGGTGTCTCTACACCATTTCAAAAATTTATTTTTGTTGACCAGTATTTTACCTCCGGTGCTTTCAAGAATGCTTCCACCATTATTATCTCTGTCCTATTCCTAAAGTGCGATATCGACTTCAGCATTTAAACATTACTTTAAAAAACACAACTACACTGAGTTGGCCATATATCGAGGATGAAAGACCATCCACTTCTACAGAATGTAGTCAGTGCAGCATAAGGGCGACCTGAAAAAATGATTCTCTATAAACGACCAACTTCCGCCGTTACTGAATCAAACAAAAGGCAGAGGAAGGGGAGAAAGCTCCGTGAATTTTCTCCCCCTTTATATCACCAATCTTGTTCATTGCACAAAATCTTGTCTTTCGCGAATTACAGGCGAGCCTCGCGAAAAACATGATGCCCAATACTGAATCTTAGTTTGCAACACAAACAAGTTTTCTTAATTTTAACTGTTTAACTTTTTATTGCATTTTTCCAATAATCGAATTAGATGTTGCACATCAGGATTAAAACTGTGAATAAATTGTCCGATGTTCTTTTTTTTTCGGTTTTATTCGGGTATTTTTAACAAGAACTGGGTCAGTGTGGTAGACAAGATTTTGTTGATTATATCTTGGCATTTGTTACAGTGTTGGAATTTTCCGAAATGACGCCATGTGTAACGGTTACATGGAACTAGACCGCTTTTTGAAAAGCGTGTATCAAATATTGATACATATTCTTATTATTTTGTACACGTATTAAATATTTTAGGCCCACTTCAAGATAACGTCACCTTTGGTGAAAGATGTTTCAGTTATGTTATATTTAACGGTGGAGTAATGGATAGTGGCTCGTATTGAGAAATCGGAGTGCCGAGTTCGAATTCTAACCGAATCCATTACATTCACTTACGTGCTAATACCCTTGGGAAAGGTATGAATTCTCTTCTTCTCCCCACAGGTATGGGTAAATAACAGGACAGACCGGGTTCTATAGCCTTGGATGGCAACTGGTCTACCGTAGAAAGAAATGGCAACCTAATGCGGGAATGATCTGCCTCGTCAGTTATGTATCGAAAGATACATGATCGCCTAAGCGTGTATCACGCATGACATAACTGACTGATTATATTTAATATGGATTGTTTTTTTTGTATAATAATGGTTTCTAAATTTTTGAGTCTTTCCTTACAATGGGTGCTATATAGTATTTTTTCTATTATCTACTAATATTATCTCTTGTTAATAGTATTTTTACTGTTTGTGATGTGATATATATATGAATTACAGTAAATTTCGAGAAGTGACAAGTCAACCGATGAGAAAATGTGACACATGTGTAGCCAATGTAAAAATTTAATATTGTTTTCTGAGATCCTGTGATGTTGGTTACGATAGAATAAGTTAAGGGTCTGTTTATTTTTGTTTATATCGGTTTTAAATTTTATTATGGTTAATTTTATTTGCTCGGCGACGACATGGTTGTGGAAATTAATATTAATAAGTGTTTACTTTATGTTGATTAATTCTTTATAAAATAATTTATTTTATTTTGATTAATTTTTTATAAAATAATCTGTTCGAAAAAGAATTTATTTTGGTTCGGTTGGATATCTCAAATACGTAAACATTTCAAACCCCCTCAGGAGTAGAACAAGGATGAAATGAGAGCCCCATTCTATTTAGAAGAAAATCATTCAACACAAAGAAGCTTTGATTGGAAATTTTATTGTGGAATGGAAAAGTTTGCTAGGAGATGGCATCTGCAAAAATCTCATTTAGAGTATGCCGGACCGAATCAACAAAGTTCTGAAAAACAAAGATGGAAGCATAAATTACTAATGAAATTTTTCTTTTGGGTTTTTATTTATTAAATTTTATTTTTTTAAGAAAATATTAAATTAATTTTGTACATAATAAATACAGTATAAAAAGTGAGTCACTTTTTTTTTGCACAGTAAATATTTACCTTAAAAACAAAAAATAACGTGCACGTTTGTATCTGTCTATATTTCTGAGATGAGGTATTATGTACACTATTTACATTATTCGGACTGTTATCCTCATCTTTGTCGCCATATTTATTACAACGTTTCGGCCTTTCAGTATCTGTCTATATTTCTGAGATGAGGTATTATGTACACTATTTACATTATTCGGACTGTTGTCCTCATCTTTGTCGCCGTATTTATTACAACGTTTCGGCCTTTCAGTATCTGTCTATATTTCTGAGATGAGGTACTATGTACACTATTTACATTATTCGGACTATTGTCCTCATCTTTGTCGTCTCAAGGACACATGGCACAGTGGATAAAGGCGTTATTTAGATCTAGTGACAGGATCCAAAGAGTGTGATTTCAATACTCGGTTAAGGCAGTGGAGAACTTGGAGAGGAGAATTAACAGGAGAGAACTGACAACTGACATCCATTAAACATGGCACGTGGAACTAGAACAGTCTACCCCAGTGAGCGAAATAAAGGGTTCAGTTCGACATTCCAACCACCTGAAGAAGGCCGGAGCGTACAACGGCCGAAACGTTGTAATAAATATGGCGACAAAGATGAGGACTAAGTCCGAATAATGTAAATAATGTAGGTTTGTTTCTTAAGAATATTTTGTAAAATTTGCTGACAATGTATCATTTGCCTTATTTACACACAATTTTTTAAAACTCTATTATCTAAAATATTAAGAAAAACAAGATTTTTTCCAAAAAATATGACTGAGTCACTTTTTTTGCATAGCACTGTAGAATAGACTTCACCAGAGGTACTTCCGCTCAACACCACAAATTGCTAAAAAGCCAAAATAATAACCTGAAAACTCGAGTTATATTTTTAAATAGCTTCGTCAAATCGAGACTTTCATATGGATGACATTCATAATAGCTAAACTGTCAGCTGTATATAAGATGGCTTTCAACGAGTGAATCCTGTGGGTCTTCGTAAAAACCATCCATCATCGAGCCTTATGGACTGGCGTTCGACAATCACAAACAAAGAACTGTACCAGAAAAAAACCAAAAAAAAAAACAACCCACATCAGTTGAGGATTACCAACAGCAGCAACAACTAAAATGGATTTAACATGTAATTCGTCGAGAAAATAATGACATAATCAAGATGTTGACGTTCCACACTATTTCCGATAAAACGTTACGAAGGAAAACCCCATCAGTACTGGAAAGAGTGATAAGATCTAATGGCTACTCGGTTAATGAATGTCGAATATTTCCTTATAAGGAAACGGCTAATTTCACCTTTACCAATGTACTGTGTCATTTGAAGTAAAAATTTGAAAAAAATGTAACACAATGGCGGATGAAGGAAAACAAACTAATATTCAATAAAAATTTGTACCGCTTTTGTCTAATATTCTATCTATCTATCTATCTATCTATCTATCTATCTATCTATCTATCTATCTATCTATTCACACATACTATAAATTAGGAGTAGATAAATTTGCCTATCGTCATTCACACTTCTTCCCTGTCTTTTGAACAGGAGCAGAGGTTTATCCGATGTTTTCTGTTTAGGATTGTGTTTCAGGTTCCTTCTAAAGTCTTCTCATATCCTCTTTCACTCCCATTAGGCCCTTGCGTTTTACTGGCATTAATGCCTTTCTTGGGGGTGAATTGATTATATATATATATATATATATATATATATATATATATATATATATATTACTATAAATGTTATATTTAGTGAGTACACTTGTTTGAGTATCTATCTATCTATCTATCTATCTATCTATCTATCTATCTATATATATATAACACATTGGAAATAATGTTTTTCGGGCCGAGAAGTCCTACAGAATCTCTTGACCAGTAGACATTAAGTTCACTTTTTTAAAAAAACATCTCTACAAACACGTGTTTAACATTTATAGCAATCATAAACAATGTCGTATAAAAACAATTAACTTCTTAATATATATATATATATATATATATATATATATATATATATATATATATATATATTTATATATATGCGTGCATTTATGTAGATACAAAATCTCTATATATAAACTGGTGTACATCTAGAGACACACAAAATTCGCAACTGGTTGTCTCAGTGGTAGTGGCCGTGTGTTGATGCATAGAACGTATGTGTGTCGCTATACGTGTGTCTCAATATGCTCATGTAACTTGTTAAAAATGGTTGCAATTCTATAAATTAAATAAATATATTTTTCTAGATTCATAAAGTATTATTTCTTTAATTTATTTTCTCTTTCTCTTTTCTGGATTATGAACAATATGGGTTCTGTTCCGATCGTCAAAGATCCTTTTATTTTACGTAAAGCCTGTCTTCTCTATTGAAACTTATGATCAACACTTACGCAAACCAAATGGAAGCTTAACGTATATTGACTAAAATTCAGCAAGTTAATTTCAATCTTGATCACTTGTTTCAAAACGAGGCCCTGTGTCAGACTTGATTTGAATGATTCGCAAAATTCAATAAATACTCACCTCTAATTGAGTTCATGAGCATTATTTTATTTTGGCCGCACGTGTATGTATGTGTGCCTTTTAGATTTGCGTTTGTCTCTCTTTGATCTGTGCGCGCGCATGTATGTGTGTTTGTGTGTGTGTGTGTGTGTGTGCGCGCGCACACGCGTGCTATGTGTTTGCTTTTCATTTTTACGAACTTGATGTCTTCTCCCCAAATTTGCAGTTGATTTCGCGGGCCTCTAGTAGTCATGGCAACATTCGAGACGCTTTCCAAGAAAACATTCTCTCACGTCTGACACGCCTTACCAAAAATGTTAGCTGATCGAAATTAGAGGAGCCGACGCTGAGGCTGAACAAAAGTTCGTACAAGTTACACTGAAGTTAATGGTGAATGAGTTGACGCATGCGCAAGTCTTCTTTTCTAGGCACGAGTAGCAAAGGGAAGAATTCTCCTCTCTTTGGCCTTTTCTTCGTTGCTGTTTTGTCTTAGCGAATCGCTCTCGGCTTTTTGGCACAAATTCATTAGTGAGCAAGTTGGTGCTTGTTCATTATCCATATACACCCATGTATTTAAAACAGCACACACACACACACACACAGATACACAGATTCACACACACACACACACACACACACACACACACACACACACACACACACACACATACAGATGTGAGTACGTGAATGCCAGTAGAAGACATAATGATATAAAAAAGTTCATAAACACATACTGTAAAACTATTTATGCATACATACATACAGATCTAGGTTTCCTTTCCTGAGTGTCCACGGCGAATGGAAAGAAAGAAAGAAAGAAGGAAAGAAAGGAAAGAAAGAAAGAAAAGAAAGAGAGAAATAAATAAAGAAAGAGAGAAAGAAAGGAAAGAAATAAATAAAAGAAAAGAAAAGAAAGAAAGAAAGAAAGAGAGAGAGAGAAAGAAAGAAAAGAAAGAAATAAAGTAAAGAAAGAAAGGGAGAAATAAAGAAAGAAAAGAAAGAAAGAAAAGAAAGAAAAAAAAGAGTGGCATTAGGAGAAAATTTTCTAAAATTTTCTGTAGATTTGCAATCATCGACAAATGCCGTGTATGTATCGAGTATGTCGAATGATTCCATTCCCACGCCACACTGAAAAAATTTCTTTTCTTTTTTTTTTTTTTTTTTAATTTTTCCCGAAATTATCTGATGTATTTTTACCTGCCGCCAACCATTTCCTTTTTTTGTCTTGTGTTTCTAATTCCTTTCTCCATCGTTTGAATTGAACAGATATTTAAGTCTAGAAATCGTAGATAAGATCATTACTGCTGGAGTGAGTTCGATCCTCACTGTGTGCTGCATCATTATAGACTTTTTTCAAACTCAGCTAAAGTGAATAAATATTCATTATTACCATAATGAGTTTCATATTCAATAGTGCGCTATATTTGTTGCCTTGTGCCAGAAGCTCAGTGAATTCCTGTATAAAGTACTACACATGGATTCATTTTAAATTATTATTTGTGTTTATTTCTTCATGGTCAGATATGAAAAATATAGTGAATTAATTTGAATGATCTTTTAATTTTCCATATGAAAATTTCGAATTGATTCTGAAATTTCGAGCTGAAGATACAATCTCTTAGATACTTGTAAAATAGTCGATTCTTGGCTACATATAAAATACTTTTTTCCCGGGTGATTGTAAAATAGTCTTTTGAATACCTGTAAAATAGTCTTTTGGATACTTCTGAAATAATCTCTCCGTGAGTACTTGTAAATACTTTCTAATTGGGTGCTTGTAAAATAATATTTTGGTATTTGTAAAATTGTCTCTTCTGGGGTACTTCTAAAATCCTTTTTCTGGATGTTTGTAAAATAATATTTTGGTTACTTGTAAAATACTCTCTTCCTAGGTACTTGTAAAATAATCTTCTTGTTATTAGTAAAAAGTTCAACATGCAAAGTTCTGGATAGTTTTGATGATGATGATAAAATTAATTTGACGACATCATTTCATACAAAACAGACGTTAAAACAATTGTTTAGTTTATCAGTAAGTTAATTTTATTCACGAAGATATATATATATATATATATATATATATATATATATATATATATATATATATATATATATATATATATATATATATATATATATATATATATATATATATATATATATATATATATATATATATATATATATATATACATATATATATATATATATATATATATATATATATATATATATATATATATATATATATATATATATATATATATATATATTAAGACACGTGTTGTTAAAGACTACGGATCTTTTTCCGTTTAATAATCTTTTTTTTTCTGTTTTTTTTTTTTTGCTTTCTTGCAATCTTTTTATATTTAGGTCTAAGTTGTTGGTATTTTGCCGAGCGCTTTCAGTTATCGTCAACCGTCATCATGATTGTATGTTTTGATTTGAAATAGGTTGCTTATTATTTTAATTTTATAGATAATATTTTGGGTATTTGAACAATGTTGTTGGATTAGTTCATTATCAATAAGGATGGGGTTGGTGTTGATTGTTGGTGGAGGATTAGTTATTAAATACGTTTAAGATGTTTCTGCCGGTATTAAATGGTAATTTGTTCATGTTGGGTGTTTGTGTGTGTGTGTTTAATGAGTTTTACTTTTGCCCTGCTCAAAGAATCTCTCTTCATATTGGCATCATATTGTTCAATAATTTTCGTTGGTCCTTCCGGCCTCCTTCAGGTGTCTGTCGATCCAGTAATCTCTAGGGAATTTTGATTTGTTCTTTTTCTTAATATTTCTCAGGTATTATTCACCTTGCTTCCATTGCGTCTAAATACTTACTACCTTGCCCTGGGATTGAACTCACAGCTATTATGCCACAGAATTCAGAAACCAATGCTTTAATCCACTAGGACCCATGAACAAATAAATCCCCAGAGATTAAATAAACGGTTCACTTCAAAATTCCCTCACGGTTACCCGGATTTACAAGCACCAGAACGCTTGATTTTATTTAAAATAATTAATACTCGAGCATTATCGAAAATGTAACTATTTTCAACTCAAACACGAAAGACGATTAACCAAAACGAAATATACTTAGACACAGGCAGCGGAAAAGAACGGCCTGCTTCTGTAGGTTCACTTCGAAATTCCTTGAAGCACCCGAAGAAGGCCAGAATACACAACGACTGAAATGTTTTAATAACAACAAAAAGATGAGGGCACTAGTCTGACTGTTAAGTATATATACATACATATATATATATATATATATATATATATATATTGTATATATATATATATATATTATATATATATATATATATATATTGTATAGAGGCAGCAGATCATTATTCAAAGCATATATTGTTAAATATAACAGACAACGATTGTCTATTATGTTTGATAATGAGGCGTTCTAAGCTTCGTATAGTGGTTTTAGTTTCAGGAGAAAATAAAGACAAAAACTGTTCAACATTTGAATATTTTCTTATTATGCTGTCCATCGATCTAAACTCTCGGCTCACATGAGTTAAAAAGTCAACATTTCAGATATTTGCTTCTTTTTTAATATTCTTATCCAAATATTAGCTGATTCATATTAAAGCGTTTATCCGTAAGTAGGCCATCTTGAATTTCTAATTTCGAAGTTTTTTAAAATTCAAATGTGTATTAAATCAAGAAAAGTATTTTCTAGCGCTTTTCATAGAGATTTACTAAAATACTTTTTTTTTATTCATAGTAAATTTCAAAATGGATGACATAATTCTGTTAGAAGGGAAGAAAAAACTAACAGCAATAAACAGAACGTAAATAATTGCCTACGTTGATCAAAGTTTATTTAAATGAGAAAAGCTTTTTGTTTTTTTAAAGAGAGATTTTCAGATATTAAATCTTTAGGGAATTTAATCAGAAAAGAGAAATTGATTCTAAGCTTGGCTTGTATTTCCGTTAGACGTTCTTCTGACACGTGATTCTCAACAGA